GTACATGATACAGTCGCTTATGGAAAGGGACGAGCCATTGTGTAGCAGCTCGTAATCCAAATCTCATTGCAACACCCGGCAATTTCACTCTCATGCCTGAGGGAGACCACAATGGTGTTGGCACTGGCGGAGTTGTTCAAGAGGAAGTTCGGTTATGGCATGGGTCTCTTCCTGGCGCAAAACAGGTGTGGTTGATTCCAACTGAAATATTACGCGTGTATATCCAAGGGTCCCCATCCATTTATTGATGGCTGCGTTTCCCGCTTTTTCAATATTGAGATGAAGGGGGAGGGGGCCTCAGTACGATATGATTCCGTGTCCGCAAAAGTTGAACGAATAAACGGGTGCAACCTAGGGAAGGTGGATTTTAGGAGTCTGCGCCAAGTGAGGGCCAATATATGATTCCTGTTAATGAAGTCGAAGGACCATTGGTGGTATTGTTGTTTCCCCCGTGCTCTGGTTTTTGTAAATAGGCTGGAAGGTGTGCTTCTGTGGGTGACTTTACGATGGTTTCTGCCGCTGAACGAACACCTTCACTATCAGCACCACCACCACCAAAAGAGGATCGCTGTCAAAGAAACCATCTTTCTTTCATTTCCCCTCCTTGTTTACAATAATTGCATGTAGCCATATTCTGCATATGTATATCTACCCTTATGTCCTCTTTTATATAAGCTCTATTCGTGAATCTCCCTCCTCTGCACCTGGAGGATCAATTTCATAACCCAATGCTGTTACGTCCAACGCTCCCGAAGCCTCCTCTTTTTCGGCAGCAATTCTGCGAAACTACGAGAAGCTACGCGGTACAGGCTCCAGGGGCAGCAACCCTAGAGGTATTCAACCGGAGGACAAAACTCCTGCAGAAGGAGCGGGCGGGGAGAAATATCAAGCTTGGTCGCAAAGTTGACTATCTTAAAGACGAGGTCGCATTTCGCCTGAGTGAGCGGTTACTTGTAAGAAAACTATTTTTTACATCCCAACAGCAAGCTTTACGCCGTAAATTGATATATACTTGAGGGAGATTTTCCAATAGCTAATGTTTATATTGTTTGGTCAGGATATCAACCGCCAATTCCCAAACGTTTTAGATCTGGGCGCAAACAGTTGCAATATCGCGAAAGCACTCACGCAGCCAATCCCTCCTCCAGAGCAGGAACCCAGAGATGAAAATAAACAGGCACGGGAGCAAAATGATTCTGAAGCGGCAGTGTTATCACCACATACTACTGTCGGAAGTCGAATTTCAACGCTAACGTGCATCGACGAATCCCCCTCCCTCCTATACCGCGATGAAGATCTCCCATTCAATTCCCGGCTGAAAATTACACGCCAAGTGGTTCCCACTCTAGAATCCCTCCCTTTTGGACCCAACACCTTCGACGCGGTCCTCTCCTCCCTCTCGATCCATTGGATAAACGATCTCCCCGCTCTCCTGACACAAATAAACCATATCTTAAAACCAGACAGCCCTTTTATCGCCGCAATGTTTGGCGGCGATACACTCTTCGAACTACGCACGTCTTTGCAGCTAGCAGACCTTGAACGGCGCGGAGGCGTGAGCCCGCATATCTCACCCTTGGCTGACGTCCGGGATGTCGGGGGATTGCTAGGAAAAGCTAACTTTAAGCTACTTACGGTTGATGTGGAGGATATTGTGGTGGAGTATCCAAATACGTTTGCCTTGATGACTGATTTACAGGCAATGGGGGAGAGTAATGCTATTCTGCGACGTGAGGCGGGACCGATATCAAGGGATGTTTTGTTAGCTTGCGAAGCTATATATAGGGAGCTACATGGGGAAGGGGGGAGAGAAGGGATTCCTGCTACGTTCAGGTTGATATATATGATTGGGTGGAAAGAAGGAGCAGGACAGAGGCAGCCGTTGGCCCGTGGGAGTGGGGAGGTGAATCTGAAGGATATACTGGGTGGAGGGGATTTTGAACAGCGGTGAAATGAAGTACGCTTCGCTTTTCCTTCGACTGCTTTCTTTATCTTGGACAACTGGCTGCTAAAGGGAAATCCTGCGAGCGAACAGCGATGCTCCGCCTTGAGACCGATATTAGAAGTGCTAGTTGGCTAAAGAACTGTTTTGTATGATACCCGCTGTAAGAGTAATAGCAAATTACATCCATGATCGTCTATTTAGAATAAAATTTTCTGTCGGTTATTTCTTTCAAACCGTCCTTCGATCCGTCATGACCCGAACAATGGATCCGACTCCAACAATATCAACCAATTTCTCATGCCAGCTCAACAACACGCTCATTTGTTGACCTCCACCTCCTTCCCCAATATTCCGCGCCTGTATTTGCGAAAAGCCCGTACTTTGGGGAGACAATGATGATTTCTTCGACGGCGAGAGGCTCCCAGATGACTGGGCAGCCATCCCTTTATATCTATCATGACGTATAAACAGTTAGCGTCGTGAATATAGAATGCTTTGGGCGCCTATGCATATCATATAACTCCGCGAACCGAACCCCAACAGAGAAAGAACTTTATAACCTAAAACGAAAACTAGGAATAGCAACTCACAAGTACTTCATCAAACAATCCCCTCTCTCCGCTCCACCCTCCCCAGAGCAAACGCCCTCAAGCACCCTCGTCATCTCCCCCTGTCTTATCCCCGCCAGGACCTCCACAACGGTAGCTAGATGGACCTCCTTCGCTCTATCATCACCACCTAGCGGCGCTGTGTCCAGTACATAGCGCATAACCCCCTCCAAGTCGCCGGACCGGAGCATTTGGCGGACTTGCGAACCGATGCTGGCCGCCGCGCTGGAGTTTGTGGGTGGAGGGCAGTTGCTTGGTACAAGGGTCTCTAGGGGGAAATTTACGGAGGATTCTGGGTCGATACTGTCCACGTCGACGGTGCGGTAGTTTATGAGGGACATTGTGCCGTTGGTAGTGGTGTATGGGGTTTAGGCTGGGGTTCCTTCGGGGGCTGGATCTGCTGGGGACGTGTTGAGTGGTTTCCACCGCGATGGTGGTCAGCTGAATTGCTTCGTACTACGCTGAGGAGGTAATGATATTATTGATCGAATTGGGAGAGGTATTGGTTTTTCGTGGGATAATAATGTCGGGTTGATATGTCGGGTTAACAATGCGGGAGGGAAGGCAGTTATGTCAGCAGCGGGTGGAGGCTCATGTCGTGCCAAGCACTGGCAAACCAGAGCCCGCCGATGCTACGCGTTATCAATGTTTAAGGAGAAGACGATGTTCGATGATAACAATATGCATGATTGTAATCAATATCAACATGTTGAATCTCAACATTTCGTTGTCGTTTCATTTCATCTACTAATGATGGTATTTTTGTACTATGCATAAAAATGTCCCTTATCCTATTCAATGGACTTTGGACTGCCACCTTGCAAAAAATGCCTATGATCAATGTTAACCAAAAACGCCAAAAATGTCAAGGAATCCCAGGAACGCCGTCGCTATGCAGAAGATATATCTCGCGCATGGAAGGAAATGGGAATATTAATAATGATACAAATCGCACTAAAGAAAAACACACCGCATAGCATCCTAAAACAAGCAGGGCGAATCAATGAGAGCTCAGGTGCTAGACAACGTAATTGCAGGAACAGTGACATTTGACGCGGCCGTCGGAGGAGCTTTGACTTCCGAACCTGCAGCAGCCTCCTCGTCCTTCTCAGTTTCAGCGGCCGGAGCCCCTCGTCCGGATTTCTTGAACATCCGTGAGGAGAAGCGACGAATGGCACGGAATCCCCTCCTGACCGGAGAAAATGTGAGACTAAGCCCCTTACTAATAGGGTTCCAGATGGCGGATATGATGCTCACGGCAGCATCGAAAATAACCTGGAACCACGGGTCAGGGAAGCAGCGGATCAGAGCAGCAAAGGGTATGCACATAATAGAGCAGAGGATGCAAATGAGCCATTGGATGCCATCGATGGGTCGCACGGAGAGTGCGGATCCGCCAACAAAGATGATCAAGATTTGTCCCGCGAACATGAGGAAATTAATGCCGATGAAGTAGTAGTTTTTGAGAATTCCCTCGAAGATATTGAGCTTATTGTCAAGGCGGCGGTTGTTGAATTCGTTGAAGATCTGCATCCAGACAAAGGTGTTGAAGACAATTGTGTTGAGCTCCGCCTTAACAATCGGGTTACTAATGTCATAGTTGAGGATGCGGGCGCCGCCGAAGTAGAGGGTGTAAGTCACGACTAGTTGGTAGATGGTTTGTCCGATGATCATCTTCCACATTGTTATTGTGAACAAAGGTGCAGATTTGGGGGTTGGTTTTCGATCGAGGATTTTCTCTGTGGGGGCATCAGTAGCAAGTGCCAACGCAGCGAAGGTATCCATAATGAGATTAACCCATAGCAATTGTACCGGTTTCAACACACTCTCGTTATTGCTGTTTGAGACGGAAGACACGAATGTCAGACAGACGGCAGTAATGTTGACGGTAATTTGGAACTGAAGGAACTTCGCGACTGCGTCATTTACCGCTCGCCCCCAGGAGATGGCAGTAACAATAGACTTAAAGTTGTCGTCCAACAGAATGATCGAACTGGCTTCTTTGGCAACCTCTGTACCTGCAATGCCCATGGAAAATCCCACATCAGCGGTCTTGAGAGCTGGTCCGTCGTTGGTTCCATCACCAGTAACAGCAACAGTCTCCCCGAGATGTTTTAGGCGCGCAACTAGGATTCGCTTGTCTTCTGGAGAAGAGCGAGCGAGGACTTGTAGGTTGGGAAGGATTCTGTCCATTTCCTCATCCGAGAGTTGTCGAAACCTTGGTCCTTCCATCGCGATGCCTTCTGGCGTTTTGATGCCGCACTCAGTGGCGATAGCAATGGCCGTCGTAATATTGTCACCTACAATCCAGGATCACCAATATTAGTTTCTGATGACCAATCCACGAAACCTGTCTTAAAGTAATGAAGGTGAAATACAAACCTGTGACCATTTTCACGGAAACTCCGGCCATATTGCACTTCTGAATAGCAGTCGGAACCTCCAGCCTCAGAGGGTCTTGAATGCCCACAACACCAATCCAGGTCATGCCATGAAAGATGTCATCAAAATCAGCTATGGTACGGTCGTCTTCCATAGTCTTCGCACCCGCTGGTGGCCATGATTCGAAATCTTTGTATACCATGCCAATGTTGCGGAGAGATCGCTTTGAGTAAGTGTCGATAGTTTCGAGAATCATATCTCGCGAGGTCTCCGACAGTGTCTCTGAAGTATATTGGCTACTCGAGGTGATAGAGATTATCTCACTACATTTACCGAGTAAAATTTCCGCGGCACCCTTGACGTGAAGACGGTATTTTCCGGATGGCTGGCGGACGACGACACCCATACACTTGCGTGTAGAGTCGAACGGAATGAGCTGAACAATCTCAGCATTAGAACGTTCCTCAGCTACATTCAGCAACCCAAGATAATTCTTCGCGAGGTTGAGCATTGCAACCTCTGTTTTGCTTCCAATGAACACTGGCTGCTCATTTTCTTCACCTTCGAACGCGGTCGAATTGAGAGCAATGCTGTTATGGAGAAGATCCCTAATTATAGGGGGAAGGCTCTTGAGCTTCTCTGCCATGTTTGAAAAGCCTTCACCATCATCTGAAATCTGGTTGAAACTAGTGTCGATACCGACAGTTCCTGCCACAACAGTCATTTTGTTTTGAGTGAGAGTACCAGTCTTGTCTGAGCAAATAACAGTTGCATTTCCCATTGTTTCGCAGGCACGAAGGATGCGGACAAGGTTATTTTCATTAACCATGCGCTTGGTGGCGAATGCCAGGGCTAAGGTGACAGCCAAGGGAAGACCCTCTAATAATCGAGTATTAGAAATTTGCTTCTGATTTGGGTTTGATCAGTAATCGGTGAGAGCTTACCTGGAATCGCAACGACAATAACAGTGACTGCAACGATTAAAATATGCAGGAAGTCTTCGCCCTTGCGCGCCGCATTCCCAGGATTATCAGGGAGTTGGACAAGGAAGCGAATGAGAAGGATTGTGAACAAAATAACAGCCGCACTATAAAAATTGGTGAGCGATATCCTCAGGATCAAAGAACGGAGGATGATTATATAGCAGCACGTACGCAGTTCCAAGACCTCCTATCCAATTCGCAAGTTTTCCAAGCTTCACTTGGAGAGGGGTGGGATCGTTCGGGGTTTGCAGCGATATCATAATTTTGCCGTAAGTAGAATTTGGCCCAACGCTGGTGACGAGATAAGTGCCAACTCCTTCAATGACTTTGCTTCCAGAAATAATAAAGGGGTCGAGTTTTTTCGTAGCTGTGCCATCCATGATGCGTTGCCACACCTCGTGGCCAGGTGTTTTCTTCATTTGGTCCGATTCTCCAGTAGCGGATGATTCATCGCATTTGACACCATGACCGGTAAGGAAAACACCATCCGCCGGGATCGCATCACCGGGCTCCATGTGGAGGATATCGCCCACTGTGATAGTGTGAATGGAGACCATGATTGATTTCCCTGAACGGATCACTTTGACCTGGCGGTCGTCTTTCTGCGGGTTTGTCAGTGGAGAGCCATTTAAAATACATTATACACAATGGAGATAAGCAAGTTAAGAATACGAACCCTTTTGTTCAGTTGAACGAACTGTCTTTCCTTCTGCCAGTCATTCGCTGCCGTGACGATAGTGACAATCAGGATAGCAACGCAAATGGCAACACCTTCGATCCAATCAACCTGCGATCCCCCACTAAACGTCTCGTAAAGGCCCAGGGAAAGGGAGACCACGGCGGCAATGGTGAGCAGGATAATGATTTTGTCGTTATAAGCTCTCCACAGAAGAATCAAGAACCCATCTGCTTTTCTTTCTGGTAGTTTATTGGACTGAAAAACCCGCACCCGATCGATAAACTGCGATTGTGTCGAAAAGCCAGTGTCTGTGGGCATTTTCATCATTTCGAGCTTCGTCTGCGAATATTTCTCCGAATAAGATCGTTTGGTGGCCTCTTCAAAAGAAACGGTTCCGTCTAACCTGCTTTCATCGATCGACAACCCCGATATCAAATCCGTTCGTAGCCCACGCTCCAAACCCTGTAGGCCTCCAAGTGCTACAAATGCTTTGAGGGACTTGGGATTTAGCATCTTATTCAATTGACCAGGCGAAAAGGCGAACGGATTATTTTCCACTTGAAAGTCTTTGATGTTTCTCTGATCTGGTTTCAGAGCTTCTGATAATGGCACGTCATCGTAGTCAGCTCCGTTTTTCTCTAAGTGCAAGGCGGCTGTGGACCCAGCCCTTGATCTCAGAGTCTCAACATTTGAAAGAAACGAGCCAGAGCGCGAACGGAGAGTCTCTCCGTCAACGGAACATGGGCTGTTCGGGATAAGCAGTGAGCCATCGTTGTGCCGAGATGTGGGCTGATCTATCGAGATAGCGTCCTCATGGCTACATCTCAAATCCGATGTTGATGAGTCGGATATCTTTGGCTAGATGTCAGGCTTTCATTCACACTTAGAAATCTTGAGATTGGGCTGCCAACCTACCAAAGTATTTATGAAGGTTGGAGGAGCCAGCAATTTGTTATTGTTGTTCGCCATCGGGCAATAGCTGGGAAACCCAGAGGCGAAGAAAAAGGATCTGTTCCCTTCAGGGAGGAACTGGGGAGTTATACAAGGAGAGATTGAAGAGCAAATACGGTAAAACAAAGAAACGAACACGATCTAAGAAGATCAGGGTCGACGATGGTTATTCGGGCGGAACTCATAACAATTATAAAATACAAAAGGCAAACCAGACAGATGGCGAAGTCCCTCCCTGCCCAGCCAACCATTTTCTTACCCAGCTTGGCCCGGATTGTGCTCCCTGCATTGGACTGGGGTGGTCGAAAGAAGTGAGCATTGGGGCTGTGCTTCTTGGAATCCCCTTAACAACCAAGCCCGAGCCAACCAAAGCCAGGTGGGAGCGGTACGAGGCAGCGGGGCCATTCGCCCACCCGGCTGACACCGCAAACGTCGCAATACAGGCGCCGCAGCCCATGTTGATCGGTGTCCCTCCACAAGCTCTTCAGGAGGACAAAATATTGGCCGCTCACAAGAGAGCCGCTGCCCTGTGGTCCAGGAGGCTATCTGGCTGCCATGATTGGCTGGTGGTAACTTCCCAAGCTTGAGCGGCTGGCCAATCACTGCCCGCCAATCGAAGGCGGTTGATTTGCCAGCGGATTAGCCACTAATCTAAAATAGTACTAGTGTAAATAGCTAGCCAAGCTTGGAGAGCACAGAATGCACAACTTCCAAAACATTTCACCTCTACTACAAGAGAGGGCGAAGAAGGCCTCTCTGTACAATCGAACTTTGGCAGATCTTGGGGGAAGCTTCCAACTTCCAAGGCTCCCTGATGTTTCCCCAAGCTCTCGCTTCAGCTCGTATTCTGTCTCGAGGATTGGCGCCGTCGGGGCTCCTTACTGACTGCGGCAAGGCGTGATACTACCTTCCAAGTTCCAGCAGAGCGACTGAGATCAGCGAACTCTGTATATGCTCGAAAACTCACTGGTCTTGCCCTGGACGAACTGTTTGGGCACTTACAGCAGTAGATTCCCTATCCAGATAAACACATCTACTTTACGTTTCAGGTGGATAGATTCTCACAGCTTATGATGAGCGCTGAATCCTCTTATCGGATATAACCATCTTTTCGTCCACGCTTTGGTAATTATGTTACACCGCCCTTCTTGCCGGGAGGAATATCAATTCGTCAACTCTTCACGTCTTCTCAGTGAAATTAGCCGGAACAGGTTATGCAGGGTATTTGGTAACTAGCTCTACTGCGTAGTGCGGGTAATCTCAACAGATCCCCTCAGTGTGGGAGGTGGGGAAAGAGAGCTTGCTCATTTTTTAAATTATTGTGCGGAGTGTGATGGAGTGAATTTCCATTTGCTGGCCCTTCTTTCAAATCCCAAACCCAGTGTTCTTCGGAGGGGAAGAGCCCCCAAACTGATACTATAAAGAGGTTGGTCTTGGTTTCTTTGCAAACCCCCATAGGTACACTGTCAGTGCTTTGAACCTTGCTTGGCCAGTTGATGTCAACTGCTGGGATGTTGGGATTTTACCAACTGTTGACGTAGGAAGAGAGGCACGGCCGCTAAAGATATGATATATAACGCATCCCGCTGATGGAACTTTTTGTGAGCTAATCCCGCAGAAGGCCACTCAAGAACTTTCGAAAAAGGAAGTGCAGAAAGCGCTTCATCAGTAAAAATATTTACATAGTAAATATTCCTCCCTCGGTCACAAATTCTCCCGATAGTAATGCGTGAAGACGAACCTCGTTTTTGAAAAATGGCCAACACCTTGACACCCTTAATGAGGAGGGTTTGAGTAAAACGAAAAGCTTGCGGGTGTTAGTCCCACACACAGAATTAGCAAATATCCGCAGTGTTTCGGATACTGGCCCCAGAAGCGGGGGATGTTCTGATGCGGGATCAAATCTCTTGGTGTAGGAGTTTCCACACTGCGCGAGTCAGAACAAAACTCCAGCAAAAGATAGCATCACATCTCCTGGGGACTACCATGGCAAGCTGAGCAATGACGTCGACTTGGTAAACGTCACAAATCCGGCAGCCGCGGTGGCGTTGTGGCGGACACTCTGTGTCAAGATGTGGCTTTGACTGTGGCGTTCATTGTACGGCGTGATATTTCAAGCCAGCTCATCATGACCACTTCAAACCTCCACCAAGATTTGATTCCTCGTGGTTCTTATATCCGCCATGTCCCAAGAACTAATTCACACTTTTTAGGACTTTCAGGATGAAAGCATACGTAATCGCCGCAGCGTTTGGCCTGAAGTCAACAACTGATCGCTGTGCCGCTGGCTCCGTTCGAGGCAATAACCGCGAATATTCCCTCAGACCTAATATTCTCTTGGACCCGAAATCTTTCCCTGGTAATTCCTGCCTCTTTGCTTATTCTTTCCTTTCGCTTCTATCTCGTCGCTATTTGTTCTCCTATAGTGTCTACTATCAGTACCTGGCGTTCCTGAAGGAGAACTGATATACCTTCCAGTAACATTAAAGGAGCTACGCTACGATTGAGGTTTAACTCCTTCGTTTTGAAAATGTTAATTCAGATGACTATATCGAGATTATTTTGGAGGCTGTCGAAACTAATTCTTCTTAGACAAAACCAATTGCGCGTCTCAACATTCCCCTGTACGTGTTCATGTTCGACTGGTTAGTAAGAGACCTCTCAAAATCGTGATCTTGTCAGATAGCTAATGCGACTTTGCACAATTCCAGGGAGATATTTTTTATCTTGAGCTGTTAGTCCAAGATCCATTACGTTCTCTAAAACGTCGAGTCTTACATTTACAAATTGCAGCAAGTCTAAACCCGGAAAAAAAAAAAGAAAAGAGAAATAAAAGAACTTTGGCTGTCTTTTCGGCACGTAAGTCAACGCATGTATCAGCTGCGATGCGTTGTCTATGACTAAAAACTGATGCGTATCATATATAAAAAGCAAACGAAAGCAAGATCCAAATATAATTATATTATTGGATCTCTACTTATGTGGTTGAGTGTATGCTAATCCCCCACGAGTACACATCACTTGAAATACAGTTAATAATCCATTGTGTACTCCCAACTAACCTGCTTTTATTTCTTCAGAATTTGCTCAATTACGTTAACACTGCCCTCGGACGTATAATGTCCGGTTGCAATTATATAACTTGTGTTTCATAGAAACACAGGATAAGAGCCACATGAATTATAGATTTGTGTGATTTAATACCACCCACCTCGCAAGCCATTTTCTGAATAGCTTGCAAGCGTTGAAAAAGAAAAAAAAAAAAAAACACCTTTCCAGATCGCGGTTTGCCGTTCTAAATTCAAAAATGCATTGCAATAACGGTACAGTCACGTCTCACGTTTCGACGGCTGGCTGTCGCATGTTAACGGCTACCTAACGGCTACCTAGCAATCTTGTAAGTTTAATTTTCTCTCTCGCTCAATCTCCCTTTTTTTCTTTACTTCTTCCTTTTTTTTATCCTTTATTTTTTGGCTATATTAAAGCTATTATTTCTATTCATTAAAGCTATTGTTTCTATTCCTTTTATCCCTTACTTGCGCGAAATCAATGAAATATGATCTCCCCGCACGTCATTCTACTCCCAACAAGAAAAACTTCCAAGAGCGAATTCAAACAGCAAATAATAAGTGAAGCATGGAATTGGATTGTCAAACGAGCATGGTACGTCATATAACTTCCCTTCCTCTTAAGACATGCTTTCGCCCTACCAGCAACATTTCATTCGTTATTTCAATCGCCAAGATTCCCCCAATCTTTCGATCTCAACCGCCCTCTTCTCATCTAGCGAGACTCTCCCTGCCTCCAAAATTGCAGTGGTGACGATCGTATTCTTAATGGTTGGTAATCCACGCTTATCCAGCTCTTCGAGCGTCACGCGTCCGTCGTTCAAGGCGCTTACGGCATCAACAAACTTCTCAAAGCTGATATAGCCGTAGCCTGTCTGACCGCCGAAGTTACCTTTTTCATCAGGGGCATAGCGCATGTAAAACCTGCGAAGGGGCGTCAGCAAGAAATGAGTCACTTTAGTTTAAAAGACTTGAAAAAAGAAAAAGAAAAAGAAAAAGAACTTTCTTGTGCTGTTCTGTCTGATGAGGTTGGCTCTGGGGCGTTGCACAATATTCTTTTTTTGGCTTGTTGATTGGAGGCAGGGGATGTTTCAAGTGCGAGTGTGTGTTTTCGGGGCGGAGTAGAATATGTGCAACTTACGGGTTTATCCAGGCGACGTTAGCTTGGCTATCATCTGTCACATCATAGCCACGCTTGGCTTGGTCGATTCGGATTTCGCCTTTCGAGCCCATCCCTGAAGTTTCCAGATGGTGTTAGTTCTCACCAATGGCAAAACCCCCTTCCCAAAAGACTTATGATAAATATATAGGATCGGGCGAGGAATAGGATGGCGGGGAACAAGAAATCAAAATCATTTGCCTGAACCCGTACTTACAATGGAAATACTGATTCGAATGAACCCCAGCCTTTTGTGGCGCCGTCCAACTGGCAGTATAAACCCCCGTAGCAATCTTGCTCGGCTCGCCCTTCTTCCTCCACTCCACTAATAAGGTAATCGTATCCTCCGTCTCCGGCACACAACCCAGCTCCACCGCGACACCCTTCGATGCCATTGCGGTCACCTTCACCGGTGCATAATCCGGCACCATACTCTCACAGATATCCACATGATGCGAATTCAGATAATAGGAGATATCGCTATCGCGGCCCGCCCAGGTCTTGAACGTCTCGAGCTGACTTTTCGGCTGGCTCATGTAGCTGTAAAAGTAGTTGAAATCGCCCAGGGTGCGTGCCTTGGCGCGTGCATCGGAGTAAGCTGGATCGAAGCGTTTGTGGTGCTCGACAAAGACGAAGACGCCGTGCTTGCGCGATTCGTCGAGGAGGTGGAGATGGTCTTTCAACAGCTTTGTAGCGGGCTTGGTGATCAAGACGTGGATCTTGCGCTGGATGGCGTACAAGGCGATGGGATAGTGGGTGGTGTCGGGGGTGAAGATTGTGATTGCGGAACCCTGGGGTAGAGCATCGATGGCGGTTTTGTAGGCCTCTGGGTCCACTTGGTCGTCTGCTGGAAATGATTGAAAGGAGACATCTAGGTTGTTATAAACCTGGGAGATGTTTTTCTGGAGGTGTTGTTCTGTTCCACGCGTTTTTAGGAGCTGATTGGTGAACGATACTTATCACCCCCTTCTCCCCTGAGTTTGATATAGAAACAGCTGAATGAAGGAATCCATATAGGAAAGTTCACTCACTAATAGCGGGAAACTTGGACCCGGACACTCCTACCATGCTTAAATTACCAACTTTACCTCTCCTACGCAGATCGAAAAGGGTCAGGCCCACAACACCAACTTTCTTGTCAGAACCGGATGCGTGCCCGTCCACGAAACCAGTGGTGTATTCTCCCGTTCCCACCTGCGAACGGTATATCTGTAGTCAGAAAATTCCCTCCTTCAATCAATTTACTCAGAGATTGGGGAAAGCAACAGTCTCACCATCAGAACACTTGGAGGAGCCATCTTTATTGTAATCGGAAATGTGCGTTTTGTTTATAACTGACTTTTCAATAAAACGAGTTCACGATTGTAACGATGGAAGGATCAATTAAATGAAAGGGTAAGAAAGCTGCAAGACGAGAAAAATGAGAAAGGAAATAGGAAGAGGTTGCAGAAGGATAAAGCATAACAATTTTGCGTAGGTGTTTATGTAGGTAAGTGCAGCAGGTCATATCGTGAGAGGTCTCTACAGAGAACAGAATCGCGGGTAATTCCAGCCATCGCATACAACAAGCAAGCAGCAACACAAAGGGGATGCGAGCAAAAGTCAACTTGCGCCAAAAAAAAACTTTATCTTTATAACAAATTCGAAAGCCCATGGAATTTTAAGCATAGAACTGTTTGCAGTGGAATTTGTTATATATATTTAGTTGCTAGTAGCAATCAAGCGTAAAGTAACTAACTAGTTTAGTTAACTAACTAACTAACTTTTCCCCTCTTACATCATCGCTTCCACTCATGATCCCCGCTAACAAGCACGCGAAAAAGCTTTAAGCCAGGGGCAACAACCGTCGATTGGTGCTGACAAGTCAAGGATGGAATCCAGTTTTGTTATCCCCGTAAAAAGCGCAATATATTCCAAAGATGCTATCTTCAACAAAAAAAAAAAAAAAAAACCGAACTTGGCCGGATCCCGTTCCGGTGCTGGCAAAGGCCGGAGAAGAATTCTGTCTCTTGGAGTGAGGTGTCCATACAGCAGTATTTCCAATAACATACCCCTTCTGATGCGCGCTTGCCGTTCTCTATTCTGACTTACTCCCTTCAATTGTTATTTGGTTTTTTTAATAATCCCGCTTTCTTGGGTTTTCAAATTTTGTTGGAGGATTCCAATGAAGCCTGCTATTCCCTACAGTTACTATATTTGTTAGAAATCCATAACAAACAGCGCCATGATATTCAGAATCATCTATCATCTATAAAGTTATAGACACATGTATAACCCTTTTGACACGGCGGTTGATCATCGTCTCGGTATATGAAGAACTCACATTCCATTAGTTTTTGGACTGAAAATGAACCATTGGTGCGTTCCTAGCATTTACTCATTCTATGATCTGGGCGTCACATTCTCAGGGAGAGTTCCTGGAGTTACAGTTCCTGGGTCAGATCATCCAGAGACCTGTTCCGGCTCTGAGAAGTGCTTTATGGGCTCCTAGACGCGACTTTTACGGCCCCAAAACACAAAATGATCACACGGTTTTCATGGCGAGTCCATGGCGGGGGATCCAGGCGGCTACGCAATACGTGATGATATTTATGAGTAATGTGCTTACAGAAAGGCATATAAAGATATTCTGGAGATATTCTGAATCAAGTGGATATAGCACATGCAATCCAAATGATAATAATTCATTCTTATCTTAAACACAACATCAACACACTATTTTCTGCCTTCTTGACTGCTTCAAGACATGTATCTGTTGAGTGAAGGAAGTATTGAGTGTAGCTTCTGCTGAGACTATAAAGCTTGTCTGACTTAGTTAATCATCATTCTCTGAAAAGCATGAAGTGTTTGATTGAGAGAGTTCAAGTTCTGACTGAGGAATATCAAAATTTACTTCAGAAGGGACTGCATCACGTTACAGTTGAATGTGGTTTAAAAAAAGTAGATCTGAAAAATAAACCAACGAACTGTCGTGTGCATCGATCGCCGCCATGGGTGCGGGTGACCATGCGGAGTTACTATTAAGTAGTTGATATTTAGAAGGATGCCCTATGACGTCTATGGTGCTGCTGCTTGATGGCTGAGCTGTAGTAAACGGGATTCTCTAGAAACCTTTCAGGTTCCATCATTAAATTACAACCAACACTTCTAGGCCTACTACGTACCCATGCATGAGGGATGACTTCTATGACATCTCAGTGCAGCCTCCAAACATCTCGTTGATGTATGGGCAGGACCTTGAGCGTCTACTCGTAGGTTGTCACTACCTCTCTCAGAGTAGATTCAGAGTGAAAGAGGGGAACTCCTCTAGCATCTCCGCGAAGTCTGGTTGTGTTTTTAAAGATGCAACATTCTGATGTGCAAGGCTGGATATCACATCTCTCAAGCCATCATCTGTGGATCTGTATATAAAGTGAACAACTGAGTAAAACATGCTACTGCACCATATATGCTGGGAGGCAGCTTCGAACTTCTCTTTTGCCAGACTTTTCAGCCCCGATATCCCATATTTTTCACCAATGATATACATCTGAGCATGGAATAAAAATGGAGGATCCCCACTAGCATCTTTCTGACCTTCTCTATGATCTGATTTGAAAGTGTATTGATCAACAGATGTAGATTGTTCTTTGTCTTTGGTCATAGAAACTTTCTCTTTGAGGTTCAGCTCAAATGTGTATTGATCAACCGATTGCTCTTTGACTTTAACAACAAGCTGGCAAAATGAGCAGCCATCAACAATGTAGTCTAATTTGTAGAAATAATCCATCACCTTCTCAACTACTGAAGGGTCTTCACTGTTGAGGTGTATCTCTTCAATTTTAGCTTTCTAAACAAGTTATAATCTATAGTCATCGAAATCATCAGACATTGTACCTTGAACTCTCCCTTGCATGCTGCTTGGAAGAAATCTGAGCAGGGGCAAATGATACATCAATGGATATCATAGCTCCTGAGCCTTGAAAATATGGTAAAATTGGAAAATAGTCCTGTGCCAAGAATTCTAATAAGAACGTCAGGTAAGCTCTCTATGATATATCAAAGGGAATTGAAGTCTTGCCTCAACAGAGCTTCTTTAAGGTCATCCACAGGCTTTGTCATTTCGCACCCAGGCGACATTCTTATGCGGCCCTCCGTGGCTATCTCTGTTGGGCACTGGTGGCCCTCCACCGCACGTGTTTACCCCTATAGTTAGCTAGCGAACGCACAATGAGAAGATTAACCATCCCACAATCTCTGATGGTTACTTCTCTGAGTGGAGTGTGCTGGGGGATTGGATCGGGTGATTCGCGCCCTCTATACCACCACGGCGCTGGTGGTGATTGAGCTCTTTTGCCCTAGTGGCCTAATAGGTTATGAGCCTGTGTAAGCGTGACTGCTACAGGGTGTGCCAACATGCTATCACAGGTTCGAAATCAGGCCAAGGCCAGAAGAATATCCCTTACTAATGCACCTTCTCTTACCAAGGTGGAGGAGATTGGTGGTTAGGCCACCAAGGACCAATGGCAGTAGGGTAGTGGAACTTAGGAAGAGCCAGGTTCCCCCAGCTGGCCTAACAGAGTGAGTGTGCTCTTATCATGGTGGAACGATAAGAGATTCTTCTTTATTCAATATATTCATAATTTAAGCATTTTCTACGTCTAGCACTCTGCCGGTCAAGCATTCTTCTGATCAAGTAGTCTCTTGATCAAGCATTTTCTAAGGTTCTCTAGATCTAGTATTCTCTCAGTTTACCATTCCCCTATGCACAGTAACAGAAGTTGGGAATGCAACATGGCGGTACCCCTCATTGACACCTAGGACACTGGCGGTGACGAAACAGGGATAAAGACCAAAGGTACTACGCACGCAAGTCTTCTGCAAGGATATCGGTATTATGTTGGGGTTTGTAAAACATTTCAAAATACTTTTAAAGGGGCGGTGAGCGTGCTCCTTGACTCGTCCGCACAGAGTCAGTGTGAATTATCCATGAGGGAATAGATACAAGGGGATACCAGGATCCCTCCGGCATTGATTAATGCGGCATGCATGCATGCAATAATAGACACGCATCATACATGTACCGGCTGTACTAAAGACTATATGAGGTTGATTTTCCAGGATAATAGTCTCTAGAGTATGAGAAGGCTGCGGGCATCCTTTACTACTTGTAAACTTGCTTGTCATATGAATTTACAGGAGAAGAATACTATTTCTTCAAGATGTGGCCTTAAAGCAATCAGTAGAGAATAGTTTCAGTTGTAGTTTGTAAGAGGAGTATAAAATCTCCTCTTTTTAAAATTTTCTTTCAACTCAAAGAGTCAACAAAGCGCAGCTCAATTTCTTCTCTCAGTTATATGGCACATGGGGATGCTCCCTGTGATGCAGGATCTTCGGACGGACGTACAGATACTAGTTCCAACAACGCAGCCATGCATGAGATCATGGGGCAATATGAAGAAGGCAGCCTTTGGGAGAAACCGTCCACATTTCAAGGCTGGTAAGGACCATGGATAAGGCTATATATACGGAGTACGCATATACTAGATACTCCCTGGCATTGAAGGTGCTCTCGACCTGAAGATCTGATTGGCCGGCACCTCAGGTCCAACGCCAAACTCCCCCGTCACAGAACTTGCTAGTGTTTGAAAATTCGACAGCCACGGTCCAAAACGGCAATTGTGAAAAATTTGCCAGGCTGTGATTGGTCATAAATTGCCAACGCCTCTTTTTTTTTCTGCTTTTTTTCTGCCGAGCCTAACAAACACGACAAACATCAGGAGGTGAATTAAATTCCTTTCTTTGCTTTTGAGCCGCTCCAGCAACAGACCTCCAGCTCTGCTCTATTCTCCTCTCCTCTCCTCTCCTCCCCTCCCCTCCCCTCTCTTTTGTTGTTGTTCTTTGTCTCTGTCCGTCTTTCGTTTCATTTTCTGTTCTACTTTCCCTCTTGTTTGACTACGATTCCACGGAGTACGCCACACTCACTTTTTACTTGTCCTCATTTTATCCCGTTGTGGCTCGGGCTCTTGTCCGCACTATTGTCTACACTCTCTGCCCCTATTTTACAGACGCTACGGAGTTGAGAAGTTGCGGATCAACAGAAAAGCTTTCGTCAAGAGTCCGACCGCCTCCCCGCCATAATTTATTTTTGTGGCCGTTGAAAATTGTCCTGGTTCAACCAGCAAAAGCGCCGGACTCCAGGTGAATGTGACATTATTCTAAATCTCTATCGATAACATTCTCGACCTCCTCGAATCTACCTGTAACATTATAGTCACGGCTTCTTGTTCTATCCTATTGTCCCTTTTGGAGAATCTTGTTTAAAATCGCTCTTCCCATTCCAATCGGATTCTCACTATTTGAACCCTCCCAATGTCGCCAAATACCGCAGCAAACCCCCCTCGTCCTGTCCGTCGACGACCTTCTCTACTAGCTAGTTTCCGTCCCAAAACTGCGATAGCTGGAGCTGATCTCCCTTTGCCCCCGTTGCCTTCGCGTCCACACACCGGTGTATGGGTCCCTCATAAAGATGGAAGCTATCGAGAAGCGGTTTCGCCCTTTTCCCATGAGATTGCGGTGTGCGACTCGAGCGCCAGAAAGCAACATCATCAACAGCAACAACAAGTACAATCTGGTTCTTTTGCAACACCAAACTTTCTCGATCTCGAACCAGAAAATCACAATGTGTTTCCACTTCTGAAAACAAGACACCGTGCCAGCAAGAGCTTCTCCAATCTACGCCATGGTGTCACGCATGAATTGAGGGCCGTTGCGCGTCGCCTTTCCCTGACTATTCGACACAAATCTTCCAAGTATAGCCTCTCAGTACCAATGGCGGGGAATGATGATGGCAATACTTCGGACGACTATAGGTCAGCCGATTCAGGAGCTGTCGTGGGATTCCAAACCTGTCGTTCATTTCATGGTCCTTCCGCCAGTAGTCTCAATACGCTTAACCGTCACGGTTCACCACCCCCGCCGCTACCTTACGTGACAGATCCGATTCCAGGAAATGGTTCAGAGCCGCCAATCCTCCCCGATGATCTCTCGCGTGGCGCCGCTGCCAGGGCGGCTGCTGCTGCGCAAAATGAGATGGTCAAAATTGGCCGTGTGAGCTCACAGGACGATTCGAAGATATTCGAATTTGAAACGGCTCCGATTGAAGAGTCAGATGTGGCAGGGGATTCTGAGAGTGGCATTGACGTCAACTTGCAGAATCGCGTAGATGTCTCTGAAGATGATTCGGAGGTTGTGCGCAAAAGTATGATTCCCACATCTAATTCTTGCAACTGGTCGATACTGATTCTATCCGCCATAGATCCGATGGATTATCTGCCCGCTGAACTCATGGCACACGTCCTTTCGTTTCTTGATTCCGACTCGCTGAAACAAGCAGAATTGGTTTCCCATCAATGGCACGAGCTTGCCTCTTCTCATCATGTGTGGAGAGCAGCGCTCTGGCATGAGTACAAACGCTGGCCTAAGGCAGGTAAACTAGCAAACGGCCAACCCAAGTATATGGGGTTAGGACGTATTCGACCGAACCAGGACTGGAAGAAAATGTTTGCCGTTCGACGAGCTCTGGAATCCCGCTGGAAGAAGGGCAAAGCTGCGGCTATCTTCTTGCATGGTCACAAAGACAGCGTCTATTGTGTTCAGTTTGATGAGTATGCAAATTGTCGTCCCGGACCCGCAAAATTTTATTCTTCTAACTCAAATGTAGGAACAAAATCCTCACTGGTTCCCGTGACCGAACTATACGTGTCTGGGATGCGCACTACCCCTGGCCTTGCATCAAGGTCATCGGAGTTCCTCCTGATCCACCATCACCGTTCAGACAGGGCCGACTTGTATTCGAAGCTCCAGAAGACGATGAATCTGCGCGACTCCCTTTCATCAGCATCTGCCCCACGATCCACTCTTCACCAGACCATGTTACCCCAGCCTCTGCAACAGGTGACTACCACCGCGGCTCCATCCTTTGCCTCCAATATGACGACGAAATCCTCGTCACTGGCTCTTCCGACCATATCTGCATAGTTTGGGATATCAAAAACGATTACAAAGCTATCCGTCGCCTCACAGGCCACCAAGCTGGCGTCCTCGACGTCTGCTTCGATGACAAATACATTGTCTCCTGCTCTAAAGATACCACCATCTGCATCTGGGATCGGCGTACGGGTGAGCTTGTCAAACGCCTCCTGGGCCACCGTGGGCCAGTCAACTCGGTTCAGCTCCGCGGTGAGCTGATCGTCTCCGCCAGCGGTGACGGCGTCGCCAAGCTCTGGAATATCACCTCAGGTCTATGTATCAAAGAATTCACCAGCCGTAACCGCGGCCTCGCCTGCGTCGAGTTCTCTGAGGACGCTCGCACAATCCTAGCGGGCGGTAACGATGAACTCATCTACCAATTCGATGCAAACACAGGTGAGCTTGTGAACGAGTTGAAGGGCCATTGGGCCCTCGTGCGCTCATTGCATATGGATTCGACAAATGGGCGGATAGTCAGTGGGAGTTACGATAGGAGTGTGAGGGTGTATGATGCGGCAAGTGGGCAGTTATCGATTAGTTTGACCACTTGGACGTCGAGTTGGATTCTCGGTGCCAAGAGTGATTATCGGCGGATTGTCGCGGCGGGTCAGGATGGGCGTGCGGTCATTATGGATTTCGGGTATGGGCTTGATGGGATTGAGATGCTTGAAGAGTGATTTACAGGAGTTTATATTTCAAGGGCGGTATATTTCTCTCTTTGCTTTTTTTTCAATTTTCCCTTTTTCTTGCTCGTTTTGTGTAATTTCTTATTCTCATTTTTTTTCCTGGCCCATTTTCCATCGTCTTTTACCTGGTTTTTCTTCAAATAGGAATGATTTCATCCTCATTGTCATCTTTTCCTTCTTTCTAATCACGCGTTCTTGTAATAATTTACCATTTTATTGTGTATGTTTTTTGCATTTTCATGTATTACCTTCATAGATGGTCGTTTTTTTTTAATCTCAGTTTTGATTTCTTTTCTCCCCTTCCCTTCCCTACCTATCCTTCACTCGTATTTTTGCTTTGCTACCTTCTCTTACCTTCTACAGCTGTTAGAATTATCTTATCTTCATCTCGTTTTTACCTTTATTGGGATCCCAGCCTCGTGGGTTTTTGCTATCACTGCCTCTTTTCCTGTTGTTCTATTTTCAATGTTATATATATATATATATATATGTCTTCCTCTGTTTTATATTCTTTGCAGTAGGCCAGAGCTGGGTCAACCGATTCATTTCTGGCCGGTGTCATTTGACTGGCCATAACAAAACAGTTAAGTGGTTGTTGTATATATATCTCTTTACGTATGTATAATTTATCCGCCTCAACTGTGAAATAAACGTGTTCCGTGTCTGATACTTAATGTTTACTTTAAAAGAAGAATAGAGATTTTCAACTATGTTATGATTTCATTCTGCGGATTTGATAAAAAACCCAATTGGTGGCCATTGTGCTTCAATCGAGTGCTGAAGGCTTCTTTTTGGGGGTGGGCAAGTGTTCCCTGACAACGGGACCTCACAAAAGGAAAGGAATTGACAACCTTAGCAACGACATTTAAGAGGTGCCAGGATCACAACAAAAAGCAACATGGGAATCCATTCCTTTAGGCAGTTAAATCACCTTGGCCAGGGAAGTCCCATATATATATATATATCAATTGACTTCGTTACATCTTTCTTGGTTGCTCTGGATGCGGATGAAAATTGTCAGGGTGAACTAATACGGCGTTGCGGCGTGGGGCGCAAAATAAATAAATAAAATAGGCAGTATTAGACTCAATTCCGGGGGAAGGAAAAACAAAACAAATCCGAACAACGAACAAATCAACAATCGAACAAACATATGAACGGTTTTTCGTCTTCACCAGCTTGTTCTGCAGTGGAATACTGCGTACTTCTCTCTGTTTTCTGCTCTCTCCTCCCTTCTCATTGCCCCACTCCCTCTCAAATCCTCTTGTCTCGACCCTCAACGCCTGAATATCATCTCCCAACCCGCATCTGTGCGTTCTCCCCTCTCCTCTCGCCTGCTCCCCTCGCCTCCTCCGGCCTCAACACGTACCATACTTCTTTACCTATCCATCACACCTACATATCTCTCCCTCCTTTATTCTCGTTCTAACTATCCTCGGTATCCCACGCACAGGGGTCATATAGGTACAGCCTCGCGAAGAAAAACCAACGTGCGAGAAAGTTTACAACGGGCCAGTCATCCGTTTGAGGGAGGGATACGCAGGCCCCTGATATCGTTTTGATCTTTGTTTGCCATGGGTGAATCCAGGTACGTTCGTTCGAATGACTTTTTTGTCATCTTCATCTTGTCACCCATTGTTATTTTCCGGGAAAAAGCAAACTATGCAGGTTTGATTGATGGAACGGTGGGATGGTCGAGCCCGTTATGATTTATTTTTTTTTAAATTTTTATTTCCTCTCTTCAAAACGGTACTATTAAATAGCAGTTTTCCCCGCCAACCAACCTTTTATCTTCTTTTACATTCCTTTGCCCAAATATTGACTGCCATCTTCTGGCTTCTCTCCGAAACACACATACAAGTGATCTCAAGCTGACAATTCTCCTCCTGGTCCTTTTCGGGATTGGGATCAAATATGCAGGCAAGAGCTGTTGGCATGGCTGAACAACCTGCTGCAGCTGAACGTTACCAAGGTCGAGCAATGCGGTACCGGGTATGCACTATAAGTTTTTTCATGCAATTTCCTTTGTGTCGAGTTTCGTTCGGCTCCCTTCCTCCCGCTATACTTTGTCCTCCCCCTCCATCTCCCCCATCCTGCCTTCGCGCTCTGTGGGGCTTTAACCAGTTTGGAAGCGTTCCGGATGGCTTTTACGGGAGCAGTTCGTATGGGATTTTTGTTGGATTGCGGGAAGAAGAGGGTTGTCTGGACATGAATGTCTCGTTACCAAAGGGATGCCATGCGAAAAGACGACACTGAGGTTCTGGAATATATCGGAATTTTATGGGACTGGAAAATGAATTACCATGGGAAATTGACTGACGAGATACTGCTTTGCGCATGTGATCGATATAGGGCTGCCCTATGCCAGGTTTTTGATTCTATATACAGTTAGTGCTCTTCATGTGGATTCCTTCCAGAGAAAACAATTGACATATCACTAACCAACTTGGACTCGATCGTGACATAGTGGATGTGCCCATGTCGAGGGTCAAGTTCAATGTCAATACTGAATACGCCTACCTCCAGAACTTCAAGATCCTGCAAAGTACGAGCCCCTCGAGATCTCTCTCCCAAATTGAACCCCCAGCATGCAACCGACTTTCAATAGCGGATATCTCTTTGTCAGATACCATTGGGATGCCTTTCAAATATTACATGTATCCCCAATTTCTGACAATTTAACCTATTAGACGTCTTCACACGGCACCAAATAGACCGCCCCGTCCCTGTTGAAAACCTCATCAAATGCCGAATGCAAGATAACCTTGAATTCCTCCAATGGACTAAGAAACACTGGGACCAATACTACCCGGGTGGTGATTATGACGCCCTAGCCAGACGAAAGGCTGCAGGGGCTCCTGCCTCCAATTCCACCCGTGGACCAGGCACTACATCCGCCACAGGCGCACGTCGAGGTGGCACGACCCCTGTGAACTCGGCAGGCGGCCGTCCACGCCTCGCCGGCGGCGCTGGTAGCGCCAACTCAGCCGCGCTAATGTCGGAGATAAATGCGCAAAAGGAAGCCATTGCGGGTCTGGAGAAAGAGCGCGATTTCTACTTTGCGAAATTGCGGGATATCGAACTGTTGCTGCAGCAGGCTGTCGAGGCGGACCCTGAATTGGATAAAGATGATGATTCACTCGTGAAACATATTCAAGCTATCCTCTATTCGACTGAGGTATGTCGTGTTTGGCTCCCCGTTCTCTTTCCCTTTCTTTCTTTTCCCTTGTCATCACAGTCCTATTTCCCACTCTTAGGTTTCTTAATATGTTTTGTTGGATTTCGGGTTTGTCTTGTTTTGCACATTCTGTTCCATCGGTCTTTCTTCGCTATTTAGAAATTATGGTTGCTAACTAAGAACCGTTAATGTAGGAGGGTTTCGAAATTCCGCCCGAAGCCGAAGGGGCTGCGGCAAGCGAGGAATTAGAGACGTTTTAAACAACGATAGAGAGAAACAACTGCTTGCTAGAATTCTTTCCCTTGCCTCTTTTTTGAGATGTGATTTTTTTTTTTCCCTTGTTCAACCAGCCTGCCAAGGCAGTCTTCGAGGCAGTCTCCTTTCTCCTGCTTGGGTGACACGCTATCATTTTCCAACCCTCCTTCTAATTAATCGAGGTTTTTGCCCCTGTGTGTGTCATTTTTCAATAATTCCCCCTAATTTTTTTTTTTTTTTTTTTGCATCAACCAACTTTTGCCTTATGTAATACACAGACTTCGTTTTCTAAAGTTTGACGAAAATAGTCTCTCATTTTCATTCAAATCTGTTTTTTCCACTTGTGCTGCTTGCCGTCATCATTTCTCCCTCCCCCCAAAAATCTCATAACAAACAAATATACAAAACCAATGAAAGGAGAGAGAAAGGCGAAGAGAGAGAGAGAGTGTGTGTGTGTGTGTTTGTGCTGAGGAAAATTTTGTTACGCCCTTTACAAATTTTCTTTTCAATATACTGAATCCCACCCAACCTTTACTATTGTAAGATGGACTCATACAAAGTACTTGAACTTTATCAAGAGGTTCTTTTTGACCTTTTTAACCTTTCTACTTTACACGCCCATCTCAACTTCTTCGTTGCATTCATTTCTTATTCAGATCTTTGATTCTCCCTGTGGAGTTCACGATCTTCTCTACATACATCGGTTCAAACTACTGGCTTGTTACTAACTTATTATTATTAAGTTCCAGAACAAATTTATTAAAAACTAGTTCTCTTATCACATACTATTAAATTCAATTTTCAACCATACTTTTTAAGTTCCACGTCTATATCTGCAAAAGCACAAGATGTTAGGCCACTGGGGCAAAGGATACCTTTGCACGGCCCATGCGTGGTAGTTATTATCATTAGATTTATAAGAAACAAGCTGCCATTAGTGGGGCTTTAATTGCTTAATTCCTGATACTGTCAAACCTTGCTGTAATGAAATATTCCTTCTCGAGCAAGTTGCGGCGCCGTGGTGGCCCTTATCATTGAACACTGAGTGGAGCCAAGCCAAGCCTCTCAGAGAGTGGCTGTCAAATGTTTGAATATTATAAAAATCATCGGGTTAATTTTATTGACAGAACCTTTCACGGATAACTAGTTAGCTAGTTGTTTTTAATGACAATTGAAACTCGTTCATACTGTAAGAGCTGGCAGGCTTAGGAATCCTCCGTGAGCAGTGCTCATCAGCGGTGGTTTTACTGTTACACTTGAAAGCAAATATGAAATGTTTAATTTTATTCATCAGTTAAGTGAAAGAGCTGTAGTATATTCAGCAGCTCATCAGATGGTGAAATATCTTGGAATATCACCAACAAAGAAAATAGAATAGTAAGAGATTATTTGAGATTGAACAGAGAGATATATTAATGATCTATAACAACTTGAAGAAGTTGAAAGTATAATTAAATTACAAAATTTTAATATAAAGTTTATATCAAGATCTAAATCTTAATTTAATAGCAAAAAAATAAGAGATTGAAAAAAGTTATAAGGTACAGTTGAATGTGGTTTATTGAAACCTAAATATGGTTTTAAAAAAATAAGTCTTGTAGATAGTTAAACCTCAGTTTTTCACATTAGTAATAAACAATGATATAGTTTAGAATAGAACCCTTTTAAAAATCATATTCAGTTCTACACAATGTACATACTGATTAAATATTGTAAATATTTATTATATACAATAAATTAGCTCTGTGTGTTCTGATAGAATGTTAAATCACTGAAGTAAAAAAGCTGAACTCTCACATTAATATTATACCGATAATAAAAAGAATGAATCAATTCATACTTCTCAACACAGAATATTCAAAGTAGTTAGATAATAAATAAAAATCATATTTAATATTTTAATTATGATATTAATGAATACATTAATCACATCAAAAGTTATTCCGATTCAATAAACTAATCATAATCATGTAAATGTTTGAATAAATCATATTTAATTGTATATTCAAAAAGTTAGTTAATGCTATGATCTGTTACATAAACATAATTATAGTGCATTCATTAAAGTGTACTATTATAGAACAATATGAATAAGCAGAATATGAACAATTGAAGAGTATATATTTACATTTATATAAAAAAAATATCATTACAATATTATAAGATGGTAAAAATTTAAAGAAGACAAAAAAAAAGTTAAACTTTATTTTATCAAATTTTTGATCATTTTAATACATAAACATTTAGCATTTGTCATAATGTTTCTAGTATGTGTAGAGATTTAATGTAAAGAAAAAAGAAGCATTGAGAAGTTCAATAATTTAAATATATATACAACATTTTAAATATTAACAAAGAAATTTATTGGAAGATTTAAAACTTTCAACTACTAACTAATGATAAAAACAAGCTGTATGTACTCCATAAAATTATTAGTGTAGTATAGTATTGCTGATATATAGTAAGTAATTCCAAATAATGAAACATGATCTTTCTCAAAAGTTGATGAGATAGTTATTTACATTTTAATCTGCAAGATTTTGAATGCACGTTTTCTCTCTGTATAGAGTAGTCTGTACAAACATACTAACTACGCCGTAGTACTCGCACAATTGAACCCCAGAACGGCGCTATAACTATTAAAACTTCCTGTTAACTTACATACTGCATTCTCTCTCGTCGGTGGCGATGATTTTTAGAACCTTGTGTTCTCCTTTTCTGACGTATTTCCTGACGTATTTTCATTCGATCATTCTATGAAGGAGGTGCATATTCCTGTATACGTTGGCAATCTCCACAATCTGATAATGTCAAATTGCCATCGTGGCAAAGTAATTCGACTTCCTATTGCGGACTAGTGTACCGCACATTAACCTGAGTTTGCCAACCTAGACGCCTGAACACTTTGGTTAAGCGGATATGAACCCCTTTTTTCCAACGTTGATGAGATGGAGTCAATGGCTGTGGGCCTTGTGGCTAGATCCCTACGCAGGATCTGCTGGAGAGAATCATCAAACAATAAAATTATAAAAAATCTCGGGGGAGGTGCTCAACAGCTGGCCACAGCTGTAGGCACACCTCTTTATTTTTATTTTTATTTTTTTTATTTTTTTTGAACGATTTAAAATCAATCTGGTAAAACCCATTCATGCATATACATTTGAAAATGTTGAGTGCCATATCCCCGAAGTCTTCTTCAAGGTAAACTTTGAATCAATTTAAACATTGCCACATTCAAAGCCTCCCTAGATCTATGCTGCGTACACCATCATCAAACCGCTACCCCAGGCAACGAACGGTTTCCAAGGGGTCGCTAGACTGTAGGAAGATCAGTTTCCTAAAACTATGCTTGGTATATATTATCTTCATATATATATATATAGCTGTTACTCTCTGATTTCTCTTCCTTGCTTCCTTTCTTTTTATACTAGTACTTTTCTCACGTCAATATTAATTTATCTATTTTATATTCTGTTTTTTATATTGATATCGAAATTAGAATTCACAACAGACGAAAATGAAAACTGTTTGCTTGCCTGCTTACTTCAAGCTTCTCTCTTTTCTGTCTGCTATAGCTGTGACATCTGGAGCAGCTGTTGACTCAGTCAATGGCTGTCTCTTAGGATCAAACTGCCCACCAACACCACCACCACCACCACCACCAACAACAACAACATCACCAACACCAACACCAACATCAACAATACCATTAACACCATTAACACCGGCAAATGAGACAATTTTTCTTTCAACCATTATTGAGCCTGGGCAAGGCAAGGTTTGGGCGCAAGTAGATAGGATTGATCCTGAACCATATTATGTGAAATGGGTCCCTGATCCAGAGTTTGCCTCGCCTGTTGTACTGCACAATAACACATCGCTTGTCTTCATTGATGGAGAACAATCTTTTTATCTCAACTTCGATAACAGCACCTCTGACACGGGTATGCATTTTCTTTGGATTTTCTTTGAAGCAGAACAACATTTCTCTTTGTTAAAGTGTATATTTATGGAACTATCTAGAAATGCTAACCACTCTTCAATACATTAGGTATTTATTTTGTGAACCTTTACTCTTCTGCTGGTATTAGTCAACTCTACACGGATAATGACCACAAGTTGCTCTGGGGTGGAGCTCAACAAGAGCGGGATGGCTGGATGTGTAAGTGAAAGACTTATATCTTGTTATACCCACAGCTGACTATGGCTCTCTTTGCTGACGTAAATTCTTGATATTTTGAAGGGTGCTTCATGGACGATCAACAATACCGCATGTTCTATTTTGACAGCGAATTCGTTGGTCCTCCAAGGGATTGTGGCCTCTCCTCTGTCTTTTTGACAGAGCGCCCGAGTTGAAACAACTATTGTGAGGAGGGGAGCAGTTCTGGACCGGCCGTGCGAAATGAGTAATGAGTATCAAAGTGTTTCTGTGATCTATGAAATTTAGAGGGCCAGGATACAATTATTGATCAACTCCCGCAAATAATCATAGCACTTGTTAGAAAAGTAATTCTATCTTATTACAATATATGCATTCAAAGTTAAATATGTTTTCCTAGGTGTTCAGTTACAATCAAGTGAGAGGCTGGTCAAGATCTCATTATAAATGCGAGCATATTAATAGAAGAGCTATAACTACAGTATTTTGTTAAATTTGTATATTCATCATCGATTGTCAGTTCAAGTTATTTATACAATATACTAATCAATCGATCGTCTTTGACGCTCCGACCTGAACCTTAGAATGTTGGAACTTGGAAGGTTATTGTTCCCCTGATCTCGTTTAGCCGTGCCCTGCGATGCATCCACCAATCAGTGGCGCCTAATCCAGGTGTAGGTCTTGGCGTACCGTCACGGGATGTTTACCCCGGCAGCTTTCCCCTTTCTGACAGCAGAGGCTCAGTCCAATGTTCCCCATCCCCAAGTCCGGCTGCAGTTGAACAACACTTGCACTGTCTGCACACGGCCACCAACAACGCGGTGCAACGATGACAGGGGCCGAACGACAACGACGACTACGACTACGACTACGACTACGACAACGACAACGACAGCAGCACGCTTCCTCCTGTATATCTCCAGCATAGAGCTAGCTATCTTCTTTCTTGCGTGCTCTCTGCCGTGCTCTCTGGACAACTAACCCGTCCGCTGTCGCTGGGGTGATCGTTCTCCTTCTGCCCCTGTTGGATACGGCTACATAGCGGAATAAGAAAAGACGTGTCCTGCTTGGTGTATAGCCTCATCAAGCCATTATAAACCTTGAATACGAGCCCGTTATTTGCGCACAGACGGCTCACAGGACTTTTCTTTCACCCGTATTTTCGTACTGACAAACACCTGTGAGGCGAGGATTGACGGAGTTCGTTCTGTCAGCGACATCAACCACCCATTTTTTATCTTCGTCTAGTTCCCATCGAGTCTATCCCATCTACGTATTGGGTAGATGTAACAATCACCGGTACTACTTTCCTGAAGTCGCGTTTTTGTCGTACTATTATTTATTGTGGGGTTTGTTTTATATTTATTATATACTGACCACAGTGCCATCGGCCTTGAAAATCTAGACATTCGTTTCTCAAGGAGCCTTGCGCTCTTCTCCCCATCCAACTTCGTCAGCCAGATGACTGACGTCCGTTCGTTTATTCAATGAAATTAACGATATTAATATATCGCGATCCTCTGGCTTCATTCCTCCAGGTGACCGACACCCGCTCGTTTCCTTTTCGACCAAACATTCGTTCCAACACAAAATCGTGAAAACTTGGGGATTCAATCTACTTGAAGTAAATTATTCACATTCGTTTCTTTGACTTTATCCTCCGGCCGGACCGACCGTTTACGCGCCGGTTCAATCGGGCATATCGTCCCGTCTCACGTTCTCTTCTCGCGTATTCAATCAATCGTATGGCCAGGAGGGCTGACCTAACTTCCAATCGCTCAATTTACAACGACTTAACCAGCTCGTCACAAGGGGTCAACACCTAGATCCAGTCTCCTTTTTTTTTTTTTTTTTTTCCATTCATTGCCCACCTGTGGAGTTTGTTGCTTTGCCCGTTACAGTTAGTGCGCATGTCTCATAGGGCATTTTGTCACTCGTCGATTTTCCCCATTAACCGAAGTAACCGAAAAAAAAAGCCGGAAACAAATAGGAAAAGGATAAAGGTGAGCAAAGGGAACCTTTCTCTTCGGCAGTTTAGCACAGGAGAGAGTATCGGGGCTTCAAGCTCGCAACTTCAAGCTCGCAGATATGGGCCATCATGGTAAGAGGCATTGGAGGCACAATAGTGCGCATCTGAAAGTTCGGTCTGCCCTAGGTGCAGGAAATGCACTCGTTGGAGCAGCCATTGGGCATGAAGACAAACGAGGGGGTGATACGGAACCTAACTTGAATCCTTTGGAGAACATTGATGAAAACACTGCCGCAATGGTGACAGTTGACGAACACGGACGTTTTCGTGAGGGCTCGAATTTAAAATATTTACTAGCACGTCAAGCACAAGAAAGCCCTGGAGATCCAAATATGGTGGTTTCAACTAAAGTTTCTACGTTGCCCGCCACTGTATCAAGCTCTGAGTTAAGGCCAGTCACCAGTCTTGCAGAGACTGATTCACAAAGTGCTGTCCCGTCAGCTCCACCAAATAACTCCTCGGTACTGAGTCCTGTATCAGGTCCTGGGACTGCGCCGGCACCTTCAAGCACTAATACTACTGCCCCTGAAAACGGACCTGGCACTCCCTCACAGCCCCTAGAAGGCGATCCTACCTCGCCGATGTCTGATTCTAGTGTCACATTTTCTAACTTACCTACATCGACCATTGATATGACATCTTCAAGCTCCGCTTCCGCATCTAGCCCTGCGGCGTCTTCCCCCTCGTCAACATCATCAACATCCGCAGCTGAGCATGTCACGCGACCTCCTTTTATCCTGTTGCCTGTATCGACTCACTCTGCTTCCTCGGTTTCCACGCCACCCGTCATACCTGTTGAGCGTTTGCCAGCAGAGACAACGCCACACATATTGCCAATCACCACCTCTAGTCCCTTTTCAACACACTTATCATCTTTGCCCTTGTCGTCTATTTTCTTGGCTTCGACGTCGTCTACATCATTGTCACCCTCATCGTCATCAATTCCTAGCAGCACAACAATTACATCATCGAGTGCTATGATAAGTTCAAAGTCGGCTCTAATGCCTACTTTTGCTAGTGACTTTGGTGGCAGAGGCGGAGGCGGAGGAGGTGGTGGTGATGGAAACGGGGACTCGACTGCAACTGGCCGAAGTGGTACCCACACATTTGTAGGCGACAGTCCTGCTGATACTCCCGGATCTCCCCCTGATTCGACAAAAAGGGTTGTAGGTGGCGTGGTTGGTGGTGTTGCCAGCATCGTCCTTCTCATAACAGTAGTGCTCCTCCTTCTAAGAAACCGGAAACGAAAAACCGATTTTTCCCACGATCTCGCATCAGGGGACAGGGGAATAGCAGCAATATTACATTCAGGATTACCAGGTGTAATGTCTGAACGTTCTGCTAGCACAGCTACTGGAGGAAGCGCCTTAGGCGCCACAACTCTCTTCAGCAAATGGAGAAACTCCCATCAATCCACTAGGACTCTCGAACCACCACCTAGCAGCGAAAGAGGGTTTCACAAAGTGTCGGGGAGAAAAATCACGTCAGTTCTAGAATCTGGTGGTGATGGATATGATGACCCATTCGGCGCAACCGGAGAGAGACTGTACTCCGAAACGGCCTCTGCCGATGCCGGTGCTGCAAATAAAAAGACTGGTTCACTCACAACGATTGCCCCTATTCTCCCCCAATCCTCTCCGACCTTTCAATCCCGGCCAGCCATCTCTCACAACAAGATGTCACGAAGGGCGGGGCCAATTGCACAGCGTCTCACCTCCCCACCGTTCGGCCGCCCACCCTCACAAGAGGGTGACTCCTCCCCATGTGTCGTCCTCCGCGCTTCACCGGCACGAACCCCGCTAACCAGTTCAGCCGATATCGCTACGTCGACAACAATGGCCTCAGCTGGCTCGATTGCTCTGCACCCTCCGCCACACGAATCGCTACCACGATTACCCATCCATCAACGGGTTTCTGGCCAAGATGCGATAGGGAGGAGTATAGCTAGTTCAGACGGCAGTCGTGCTAGTCGATTTACAGAGGGGATTTAAATACCAGCAAATGCTTTTTTTGTAAAGGATATATTTATGGTGTTTTCCCAATTTGTTATATACCTTATTCGTTTTATCTGAAATGGCTATAAATGTTATTTTGATTTGGCGATATGATATTACTTGTATATACCAAACCAGCCGGAGTTATTTTTATTACAAAGGGTGAACCAATGTTTTTAGCGCCATCTCCTCCGTCATGTACTTAAAATCTTTGGATTATTTTGCAGACTGTCAAACAAACTGCTCGAGATACTTGATGTCTGATATATTAATTATGAATTCTTGGCTATATCTAATAGCTGATGCTTCTTTTCTTTTCTCCTTCATTCCATTTACTGTTGGTATCCCTATCGCTCGCCAGAAGGTATACATCTCAATCTATATAAATACTATTTCATTTTTTCCCCACATCCATTTCGACCTGTATATATATCAAGCTTGTGCTCCTTTTCACCATTTTTGCGATTTCGATATTTATATATATTTGTGTATAGGTATCCAAATTAGCCAACCTTCTAACTTCTATCGTTAATACCTGTTTTTTTTTTTTTTTTTTTTTTTTTTTTTTTTTAGTTTGGTATGTTGGATCAGGGTAGCTTTTGATCTATAAGGAGGCGCGGTATGGATGAGGGTATTAAATTAATCGGACGCCATAGTGAGGGACTATTGGCCCCACACACATATACAAACATATATAGAGCGATATATCGATTTACCCTTCGCAGATGGGTGACGATGGAATGTCATACGTTTATTTGCCAGCAACACAGTGCACATGATATCATAATGCCTAAGTATGTATACATATAGATATTTCAATTATATAAACGCACAAAATGCCACCCAATCAACACCGCTGCACATTCATCACGCAAATTCCCCATGCTTGCTACAGCGATAGACACGTTTGCGTCATTCCAGAAACCTCCTTTTTTCCCCTGGTTACCTTTTAGTCGTTATTGTGCGCAAAATTGCCTGGGTTTAATTACTCTGCTGGTTCCCCTCCTATAACCCGAACATTTAGTTAGCAGTTGCCCTTCCTCCCTGGTCAATAATAATAATACCCTGGGAAAATTCTCATAAAAACCAAAATTAAAAAGAAAAGAATGGTTGACAGGAGAGCTTGGGACATACATTTGCATGTTGTGCAACCGCAGCTACTACCACCGCTAGATGAACAAGTACACGACTGTGGACCGTCACAGGGGCAGGAGTTATTTCCGCATCCGCAGGCCATGTTGTTGGATGTTTTGTGGTATTTTTCGGTTGTACAGTACTTTCGTGTGTTTGTTACTCTTTCGTTTGGGGTATGCGATTAGCGTTTCTCGCTTATAATTGCCTGGAAGAAGTGGAGGAAGATGAAGTAAAGGGAGTGTGGGCAAAGAGGGGGGAAGAAAAGGGGGATGTGTGTACATACATTTGTTCCGTTTTTTGAATTTGGGTATAGAAGAGTATAAGAATGCCGATGAAGATAGGGAGGAGAAAAGGGGGGAAAAAACAGAAAAGAAATAAGAACTTTCGTAAGGGGTTTGTTATTTATGTAGAGCTTGGGGAAGGTCGAGATATACTTGCTGTAAGTCAATGTAGTCATTCTTACGTCACAAATTTTGCCGACGCTGGGTTGTGGCGTATCGGGCACAAGGGAGGATTGAGTCCAACCATGGATACAAAGTTCCATATCGGTGCTTGAGGATCGAGTGTCAGAATGTCAAAGCTGGTAAGGGAAACCATTGTCTCCAATGGCTGTTTGAGGAATCTCTAATGGCTGTTTGAGGAAGAAAATCAAAATTTAGGTAATAATGATATAATCTTCAAGCGGAAGTAACTTGAAGACAAAGAAGGTTGGAAAGAAAAAAGGAGGATGAGGCAAACAAAAAAGTTAAAAACGCTAGAGGGGACTCTAGACTAACGAATCCATCAATCTAAACTAAACTAACCCATGTTATCACAAAACACAAAAATTGGTACAGAGATTCTTCCTGACGCCGTGAATGAAAACTAAAAGTAGCGCCTGGATTGCCTCCCTTCCATTTGTTTCAATTCCATTCCCTATCATTACTCATTAGTATACATGTAACCGTTGTTTGAGTGTATTAGCATGGTTAACACGTCATGATGCTCTATCAACGCCGCCCGCCGCCAATTCGTACTATGCCGTCCGTCACTGCTCGCCCAAGTTTTTTTCGACATTCTGGGCAATACCATTTCGCCGTCCGACTTGGGACTTCTGTGAGGGCCGACACAATCGAGATGGAACCATTTCTTTGTCACACTAAGGAAAAATAAAGTAAAGCAGGTTAGTTGTATGTGTTCGGGTCTCGCATGAGAGTTGAAGCGATATTGGAAGAATACATAACAACGAAGGGGAAGAAAGCAGAAAATGCTTCAAAAAGTGTAAAATGGATATAAAATTTAAAGAACGTAAAGAGCAGAAACAGTACACTTTTAAAGAGGAGAGTCGCGATGGCCACTCACATCATTATCCTCGCAGCAGATCATGGTCCCGAAACTCACGTCTCCGCACAGACAATATCTTGGCTCGTTCGGATCGATCTCTTCCAGTACTCCGTCTTCGTCGACCCGTACATCCTCGGTCCTGGGAGGCTGGGAACCCACCCTTTGGCCCTGATCCCGCTTTTTCTTGACTGCTGGTTTGGCTTTGCGACGGCCCACACTTACGGCAGCGCCGCCATCCTGGCCAGACGTTACGGGTCCTGGCGCCGGGCGTTTGCTACGGCGACCAGCCGCAGTCGTGCTGGTAGGTTGATCTGCTCCAGGTGTGGTCTTAGCCACTGCCGGGGTAGCGCTCTTCCTTCGAAGTCGATCACGACCGGTCGCTTCCACAGGTGCTCCAGTGGCGGAACGCGGTCGGGACGTTGCTCGGGTGGTAGGTGGTGTTGTAGTAGGGAGGGGCTTGGATGTCGCAGGCCCTGTTGCTCGACGTAGATCAGTTGGAGACGGAGCACGTGGTGATACTTTTGAGGCTGCCGATGGGCCAGCAACAGCGGAAATTCGACGGCCTTTAGCTGTAGCTACACTTTCCATTAAAGGTTCGTTTCCAGATGGGTGAATCGTACTTGTAGAAGCAGACTTGCTCAGCTTGCGTTTTTTACTTGACGGTTTGGCTGTGACTAAGGAGACAGCGGCTGGAGATTCAACATCTTGCGAAGATTCTAAAGCCGCTGCCTCCTCAAATTTTCTCTTCCTAGTGGCTTGCTTTGGCGCCTTTGGCCTCTCCTTTACTATAGGACCGTTAGCTTTGAAAGATGTACCTAAAAGTCCAGATTGAACGTTGTGAAGATTCTGTTCTGCAGGGCTGGAAAACAGGCTTTTAAATGTAGACCCGATGTCCCCGAGTCGTCTCGCCGCCATCTCCGCTTCGACCGCAGCGAGAGCCGCCTGTTCCCGTGCAAGGTTTTCGCGTTTCAGCTTCTTCGCCTCGTTCAGTTTCATACCTCGGTTACTCAGTTTAGTCTCTTCCACCCCTGACACATCCGCGCTTACTTCACTTTTTAGGACGAGCTTTCCTGGAATATAATTGTTCGCTATGTCGTCGCAGTCTACAAACTCCGCACCAGTTGTTTCGGCATTCAGCTTTGCCAGTCTGTACCCTTCCCATCCTCGACCACGGAGCGCAAGCTCTCGGTGGATCATAATTTCGCTAGGTTGCCAAACATTATTCTTCTTCATCTTTTTTCGAAGCTTGGTCATTTCCCATTCGGTTAACCGGAGCCACGGGAAATATTCGCTTCCGATTTTCGCATCTTCCGGCGGAGGTTTTAGCAATGCCAATGCGTTGCTTGTAGAAGTATCGATTCGATTCATCTGCACATTTCCACTGGAATGTCGCGGCTGAGAGATACGACGACTCATCCCACGCTTCTGCTTTTTGGACTCCCGCTTGTTCTTTAAGGGAACGAGCTGCTTCGCTGCTTCAGCAGCACGCGATGAACCGAGTTCAACTCCTTCCTCAGATTGCTCGGTGCTGGCTATAGGTGAGTCTGGATCTCGCACGGCAAGATTGCCACCACGGGTCGCCGCGGCCTGTGACTTTCCTTTTTGTCCGCGTTTCCCAGCAACGGTTGAGGATGTCGCAGGTTGCCGGCTTCCATCGATGCGCAAAGTTATCCTTGGTACAGAGGGTGTCTTGCCAGCTTTACGGCCGTTTCTTGGCCGTTGCGTTGTTTCTGGTAATGCTTCAGCGTCGGGAGAGGCAGAGACGTCACGGGAAATCGCAGTACAGGTACTCGTTAGCGCATTCAACTTGGATTTGATGCTCCCAAGGCGATCAAAATACCGATCAACTACATCGTAAAGGCGGCATGCTTCTGCATAAGCGGATTCTCGGGCATTCATCGCGCGCCCTAATTGTTCTGATATCTGCTTTCGTAGAACGACTGGCCTAGGACGCGAATCCGCTGGTAGGTTGGGTAATTGTCCATAAATCTTCGTAAGCTCATGTACTGCGTCTGCAGCATCCAGGTAGGTCTCGTCCAGGCCGCGTATCAGGGTCAAGGAACGGACAAGGTCCGACGGGAGGTATTCGGTATAGTCAATAAAATCGCTCACAGTGGCCTGCGCGTCCGGATCGGAGGGGCCCTCCATGATGATACCGCGTTCATCTGAATCGTCAGACATCATAGAACCCATGAGGCGCTCGAGGGAGAAGGTGAAAGGTTTCAATTCAGTCAAAACTCCGTTGGAGACAAAGCGATAGGAGAGTGGAGTGTCACCATCAGTGCGACAGGGGAGATCATAGAGTCACAGATGACGCATTGGGAAGATGACCTCTGTTGACAATAGGTGCTCATATGAAGCGCCTATCGCGTTGAAAAAGTATTGGAAAGTTTCGAGAAGTTGTGAGGGGAAATTATTCAGCGCTGGAGGATTGGAGAGAGCTTCAACGATCAGTCGCGAGGTCGTCGTGATTGGGTTGGGGATCGTTCAAGGAGGCAAAAACGGATAAAATATTATGCCATAGTCATGTGATTTGGCTGTCCATCGTTCCAGCGTCAACCAATAGTAGCATGTTTTGCTTTCTTTGCGTCCGTAACTAAACGAGGGGGGATTAGGAAGTTTAAATCAACGACTCCACAACGCTCTCCTTGACAGACATATGATCATAACTTGTGTCTTCTGATACTTTAGACGCATTTTTACGTTGTAAGGCACCATTTCTGCTGATACGTTAATAATGTCTCAGTGTTCTGCTGTTGCTTTGTCAACAGGCCCAAGTAGTGAAACAAAGTGACTCCTGCCTTGATGGCATGTAAATTGATATAATTTACAATTTACAACACATTGCAGTCCACTGACCGTCCTTTTCTAGATGTTTATATATCATTTTAACTGATCTTCTCTTTGTTGTCATTTTTTTCTTTATCCCCTCTTCTCAACTGCTTCCCCCATCACTTTTGCCTGGAGCTTCTGTTCACGACCCGGCCAGCTTGATGATGTCAATGATGGACATGCAGGCGCGCCTCCAAATACTCTTCGATGGAGAAGACGAAGAGCTTCTCAAGACCAATACAGATCTTCAATCTGTACTTGAAATAGGCACTCTTTCTATGAAGGAACAGAATAACTTCAATACCCGAGACGCCCATCCCCCAGAAACCAGTCGAGAAAGTGCTTCCAAGAAAGTGGTGGCAGTGGAGCTCAGCAGCTCAGAGGATGGGTTTGATGAGTATCTCTCTGCATTTTCCGAAGTTGCACGGAAAAACAGAAGAAAGAAGAAGATTTGCAACAAGAACGATGGCGATAAGAGTAAGGGGAGAGCGCGTCTGGATTTGTCGACGTCGATGGCTTCCCACGATGCAATTGGGGCAACACTCTGTGGCAATGGCGGAAGATTATTCTGCCCGATATCCACCGTCAGTCGTTTTCCATACAAATATATTCGGGGTAATGCTGGGGAGCAAATTGCACAACGCTTTTTCAACGAAGGAAAGTTCTGGAATAGGTCTTGGGATATGTACGCATTCCACGAAAAAACCCAGTCCTAGTTCGGGTGTCAGACCACGGTGAAAATGCACATATGAAGACAGGATGATTATAGTTAAATGTCATCTGCCGCGCAATCACTTTTTTTTGCTGTCACTGTGACGGTCGGCCTCTATCTTGTATTATTCGTTTTCACTAACCCAATAACCCAAACATTCCATTAGATATTATATTCATCCGCCGCCCTCTATCTCAACTAAACCGCTTATTCTCGTTCCGGGACACCAAGTACAGGGCCTTATCGATGATATTAACAGCGCATTTAACATCCAGGTTGCCATCCTTCAGACCAGGAACTGGGATTCTTAATCTCTTTCGAGAACGACGGTACCCCTCAACCACAGTACCTTGGAATATCGTCCTCTC